ATCTGGACACGCCGTGCCTGGCACAGCAGGAAGGGATCCATGGCAGCCTCGCTGCCCCGCTGATGCTTTCATGGCCTGCAGGGCTGTTTCCCAGCCTGGCCTGGCTGCAGCTTCTCCCCAGCCTCTGCAGGAAGGCATTTGGCATCAGCTGACAGGGAGCCCAAACTGCAGCACAGGCCATGCACACCCTGAGTATCCCTGAAATTTCCCAGGCTCCAGGTAGATCAGGTCGAGGGGCTGTTTGGAGAAAGGACCAACCTGGGACAATCCTGAAATCCTGGGTGTTTGCAGATCCTTATCCATGCCTTTCACAAATATTGCCTCCTGAAGATGGCACCTCCGCAATGAGGAACAGCTCCATCTGATCCAGCTGTCCCTCTTCCATTCTCCAGGAATGAAACAAGTGCCTGTGCAGCAGGAAACATTCCCTGAAGGAAGCAGTGATTCTGTGCCTAACTCTGCTGCAGGAAGGGAGGCCATGCCAGGCACAGTTTCAGGAGGTAATTGCTGTGCCTCTGGGCCTGAGCCCTGCTGAGGCTTCAGCTGCCATCTCTGCTGCTTGGCAGTGCCTGCCCTTCAGGGATGTTTCACAGAGCATGGAAAGGGTGTTGAGAGTGACCAGGAGGCAGCCCAGAACTCCCCTGGCCCCTCTGCAGCTTTGGCCATGTCCATTCAGGACAGATGTGGCTCCCACAGCCTTACCCAGCCCCATTGCAGTGCCCAGTTCCCTTAGGCAGAAGGGGATCCCAGCACACCCTGAAAAAGGTTCTCATCTGTGCTCCCTTCCAGATAAGGTTCCTGGCAAAGTTTCTCTATTAGCTTGGCTGCATAATGTTGTGAAGCCCACTGGGCCTCCTGCAGGTATGTTCTCAGTGTCCCATGGAGGAATAATCATTGACAACCTGTCAGGAGTCAGGTGACAGAAGCTTCTGTGGCTGTTCAGTTACAGGTGTGTCTGCAGAGAGGACTTTGCCAGCTCCTGACCTGGTTACTGCACCCAAGCCCGGCTCCCATCGCAGCAGTGAGTAGTGTGTGCCTGCTGACCCCACAGGCTGAGGACTGGTTCTGTGGGATCCATTGCCAGGAAATGGAAATCTTCTTCTCTAAGGTTCTCCAAGACAGAAGACCCAAGATACAGCAGAAGAGAAATCCCTGAAACGATCAGAACTCATACGGAAAATGCTGAAGGAATTCAAGCAGGGAGGACAAGGTGGGTCCATGTCCCTCAGCTTTCTCCTGAGTCTCAGCAGCCAGGGGCTTTCTCTGCACATCTGGACATGCCGTGCTCGGCACAGCAGGAAGGGATCCATGGCAGCCTCACTGCCCTGCTGCTGCAGGGCTGTTCCCCAGCCTGGCCTGGCTGCAGCTTCTCCCCAGCCTCTGCAGGAAGGCATTTGGCATCAGCTGACAGGGAGCCCAAACTGCAGCACAGGCCATGCACACCCTGAGTATCCCTGAAATTTCCCAGGCT